TATCTATCTATCTATCTATCTATCTATCTATCTATCTATCTATCTATTTCTCCCCTTCCTCCAGAGAACTGGTTGTTAAATGTTTACCAGCACACTCCTACTTAGAGGAGTTATGATCTTTATTTGTTCAAAGAATACTCACACCTAACCCACAGGTCCTTGAAATATTGAACTAAATTATGAAATAATTTTCTTAATTGTTCTGCTAAACTAATTAAATCCTGAGGATTGGAAAGGCCCTCTGTCAACTTCATTGGAATAAAATGTGTTTATAAGAAGCGAGATGTCACAATGGATAGATAGGTTGATGGATTTGGAGTAAGGAATACTTCGTTTTAAATCCTATGACCTTGGCTAAATTGCTTAACTTGTTCCAGGTTTTAGTATCTTCATCTGTAAAATGTGGGTGTTGGACTATATAACTTCAAAGACCCCTTCCAACTAGAAATATAGAAGATTATGACTTTCTTTCTCAGATGCTAGAGTGTGTCTTTCTGTCTTAAGATTCTGGTTCAGAGGAGGTTTTTAGGTACAAGAATGTACTTCCTCTTGATTTCTTTCTCTTAAGATATGGAGGCCTTGTCTTGAGAACCCGTGAAATGCTCAAGTTTCAGCAGAACCAGGAAGCCCTACTTTAACCTTTGACCCTAACCAGTCTGCTAATTCAATTCAACCTTTGGCTACTTTTTCCTCCTCCATTTCAGTTTCTTATCGCATATTTGGTGTATGGGAAGGATACTAGAGCCAGAGTCCTGAATTAAGAATTGCTTAGATTTACATACTATAATCTTATCTAGTCATTTCCTACAAGTCTACCTGGGGACTCAGGTTAATCTGATTATCAACCCATTCTCTACAAAACCATTTTGTTTTTCATAAGTAGCTGCTTTGCTATCTAGAGAGCAATAGATAGATAATAGTTTTCTAATATCTTTAGATAGTAGCGATCAACCTATTGTGACTTCAAGTGTGGTTTTGATTGACTTAAGTCAAAACATCTTTTCAACAGCATGAGTTATCCCTCCACCAACACAGATTGCAGCCTCTCCATGTTCTAGTAGATGGTTATTGTGAGTTACTGTAGTCAAAATAATTTATTACCTCGTGGCTATGGTAATGAGGAGCATCCTTGACTCATCATGTGGCAAGGTATGAGGAACTTTTCTGAACCTAGGCTGATCCTCCCACCAGAAGCACATAGTCCATTCACGGGCCCTTCTTGAAATCATTTCAGCTTGGCAGCATCTGTCAGATCATGTCTTCCATCGCCATTGCCTTCAGTAATCTGTGCTTGCCTCCAAATTTTAAAAAAATGAGGCATAGGAGTTCACGGCTGAAAGGAATCAGATCATCTGGTCCAATGCCCTCATTTCATAATTCAGGAAGGTGCTGCCCAGATAGGTGTACTTAAATGAAGGCTTGTGATTACCCTGAATTTAATAAGTAGGCCTAATGGAACTAATCATCATCATAATCATCATCATCATCATCATCATCATCATCATAGTAATAACTTGCATTGATAGTATTTCTCTTGCTTGAATATTGTAATGTGGAAACCTAGCATATACAGAACTGTCTAAAAAGATGTGTGTATCTGGGTCTGTGTTTGTACACAGGAGTACCTCTCCAAAGAGCCAAGAGCCCATTAAGATGGTGATGTCCTCCAGGTGCCCCTAGTTGGGGATGACATTGCACTGATTGCATCAAGCCCCAGAATATTATGGGACTTCCTCACTGAGATCCATTGTAACTCAGCCAGTGATCCGTTCAAGAAAATGAATGAGAAATGCCCGTTGTCCAAATTATAGTAGTCAGTTGTATAGATAGTCCATTAAGTTAATACATGTACCTTGGACAGGTGTTACAGAGAGACAGTAAATTTGTCTAAGAATTGATTAGAATGAAGAGAGTAAACTGAATTGCATTTGGGAATTGTGTACTGTGCTTTTAATGACTTGTACAGGATGAATAGATATGGATCTGTATCAGAAGAGGAAATACTCACATCAATGATACCATGGTCCACTGAAGTAGACACAAAGTAGAATTGTACATCATTTCTGCAGAACTTTAAAGAATCCAGCAATATCTCCTATTTGGGACACAGAACCAGAAAGTGAATTTAAAAAAGCTTCAGAGCAACCCACATAGCATTCACAAAGTCCCTATTCACAAATTCGTACATTTTACTTATGGGAAAATGCCCTTTCTCTGGACCTATTTGTTTTCACTTTAGATACAATTCTAGCAAGCATAGATACTGACTTCCAACCCCATAGTAGATTAGAAGAGCAAATAAAAAGAGTGCTACTACACACAAGAATGTTGGACTTACAACTTCAAATAACCTTGATGGGAAGGTTATACAAAAACTGCAACGAAGAAAACACAAGGAATTAGAGAATATGACTGTCTACTGTAGAGATTCTTAACTGGGGTCCACAGACCCCCAGGGATCCCAGAAATTAGATGAGGGAAATGACATTTTTATTTCAATATAATTGGTTTCTTTTTAATTCTATGTATCTTATTTTGTATGTTTAAAAACATTCTGAGAAGGGGTTCATAGACTTCACCAGGCTGCCAAAGAGGTCCATGACATAAAAAAGACTAGGAACCCCTGATTTAAAGCCATTTAGTGTAGTGGTAAAGAGGCCTAAACACTTAACTAGTCTGATGTCATGTCTGTATTACCCAATAGTTAAATATTAATGTTCATAAAATGACCTTGACTCATCGAGAAAAAGCTAACCTAAACTTAGTATACTCTATTTAAGAAATAGAGATATGTCTAAAATATTTTCAAAAGGCTCTCATCCAAAATGGTTATATTGAAAAATGTTTTGGCACTTAAATAGGTAAATCCTCAGCTCTTCAAATTTATTCCTTACCCTGGAGATCCAGATAGCTGAGGTTTTATTGTGGAAATGAGGGCTTGTAATCTCAAAACAGAAAATAAAGGTTTGTTTGGGGCTTTGTTTATATAGGACCAATGGCACTGGAAATTTGACAGTTATTCAGTTAGTGTGATTATGGAATATACATAATAAAATTGAATATTTAAAGCCCAAAGAGATTTTCTTTTTTGTAAGGGGAGTGGGAGAGGAATCTTAATAATTGGGTCTGATTGTGAAATTGATCAGATTAACTGAACAATTGACCATTCACCATTTCAGTTTGCTGATGAATTTCTTAGATAAGTGGTATTATCTTGCCTTTAAATAATTAATGTAAACATGTAGTTTCTGGTTTCTGATTTTCCAGAGATTTAAAAAGAATCTGTTGAACAGCCATTTTGTTTTAAAAGCACAGATTCAGTAATAAAATATATTAAATGTGAAGACCTCATCCCTGTCACCACCACAGCTGGAAAGAACATTTAATATTAAAGCACGGAAAGAGCTTTAAGTTGATTTTTTTCCCATCACTTTCGCTCACATATTCCATGTTAACAGAAATATGTCTTTTTCCTAAGAAATGTTGACTCTTTGGTTTTGATTCTTTCATTTCCTTTTGTTTGAGTCTAGACATCAAGGCAACCTAGCAAGTGTGTTTACAAAACAGCATATGCAGTGGCTATGGGACTTCAGTGGACGAAAGTCATTCTGGATAGGCAAGTATGCATGGGTTTTTTTGAACTGGTGAAACTATATTAAGTGATGTAATATAATGTCACTTCTTACTAGGTAGAAAAGGAAAACGATACCATCTATGGACAAATTAATCTAATTTGTGGCTTACAACTGACTGACCTCTTCCTCTTGATCAGAAAAGGAGAATAATTGTCTTTTTAAAATTCCTTGGAAAAAGTATGATTTCCATAGAGCAGAAGATGTAAACATTTTCCTTGACTATGCCATGAGATTTACTGGTTGGGGAAGTGGAAAGGCTACTGGAATATAGTGGCAAAGGCATCATCTGTTGTGAGAAGGCTAAGGGGAATGATTAAGAAAGAAGTATGGTGACCCCTGGTTTCTGCCTGTTCTGCCACTAATTCATCATGCAATCTGGGACAAGTAATTTTGTTCTTGTGGGCCTTGGTCTGTAAAATGAGGTGATCAGATTAAATGATCTCTAAGGCCCAAGCTCTCATTCTTCTGGATCTAAGGAATTTCAAAGGACTCTTTTAGTGCTAAAATTCTTCATATACTTATACAGTTCTCCATGTATAAGGGCTGAACTTCTCAAACTGAGAAATTCTTATGTTTACTAAACTGCAAATTCAGTAAATCCAAAGGGTCTCCTACTTCTGAATCTACAATTTTCTAGTGGTAATGAGGTTTATAAAATGCTTCCCTTACAACTCAATGAGATAGGTAGTGCAGATACAATTATCCCCATTTTACTAACTAGGAAACAGACCCCAAAAGGTAAAAGAATTACCTATTGTCCCAGAGTTAAAAGTGGGAGAACAGGGGCTTGAATCCAAGTTTTTTGAGACAGTCAGGATGAGAAAGCAATTCAAGGTGTAAACAAAAAAGAAACATGGTAGGTAAATCATGAAATATGACTTTTCATTTGAAAGCCAACACTACCACTTGTAGATAAAATTGAAGAAAACAAAAAATGGTTTCCATGTGCTATGTGCAATGGAAAAAAAATGTTTCTAACAGAGTTTAAGAAGTACTTTTCATCTGTGGTTCAGGCCTCAAAACATTCTTTTGTGTATAATCTATAGAGTAAATTTAGGACAATGGTCTAGAAAAGTATCTGTCCCAAGAAGAATAAATAAATTTGATGTATTTTTTTGTTTTGTGGTAGGTTTGAATGACCAAGATGATTCTGGTCGCTGGGAATGGGACGGAGGTGAACCTGTAACCTTCACAAATTGGAGGAGAGGGGCCCCCTCACATTTGAAGAAAAGAAAGAACTGTGTTTTGGTAAAAAGAAGGGGAAAGTGGCAAGCTAAAGATTGCAGGAAGGGTAAAGCTCACAACTATGTGTGTGCCAGGAAACTATAAACACAAGTGATGTTGGACACATCCACCAGAGCTCCCTCACAAACTGATTCTTTTTCACATATGATTTGCAGTGTTTGTGAATTTATATGTTTAAAAATCAATGGCCAAGGTTTATTTAGTAAGTTTATTTGCTGTGGACTAGGAGAGACTTCTGTAAAAGTGCCTTGTGATTGCAAAGTTTGGTCAGTAGTTTCCTTTCTTACCTACCCCCATGTTCCTGCAAGAAAAGAACCATTTTTGAATCTTATCTTGTACTTATATCCACCCCACCCCTAACAAAAGCTCCAAGTCTTATAAGATGTAGAAGTTTGCTTATTTAAATAGAAACTATTCCAATCCTCAGCCAGTTCTGGCTTCTTACCCTCTTTCTGTCTGGCTTATGGTTTCATTGTCCATCACCTCAGGAGAGGCTACCAGGAAACTTGTGTTGCAAGTTTCTTCTCATGGACCTGCCTCTCTCTCAATTCAGCTCCAGTAAAACCAACTATACCAGCCAGACAAAAATTGAAAAACAATGAGAGAGTTGGATCCTTTTATCACCTTTAAGGGCGAGGCTGGGAGTGGGGTCAATAGGTTGAAAAGTGGCAGCTCTCAGGGTAATGAATAATAGTTGAAAAGAAAGGCTGTAAATGGCTGAGTCATGGTGTATGTGCTTCTCTGAAAAGTCAGAGCTACTTTGATCCTGGATATGCACTCAGATAAGCATATAGGTGTCAATGGACTGGTCTGCCAACTCTTTGAAGGAACAAGCAGCATGTATCACCCAAGAAGATCAGTTTTCTGAAAGGAGGGTTAGCTTTGGTTCATTCCAAGACAATGGTTTGGTTTCCCCTTGCAGAACTATAATGGAATTGAAGCCACATGAACTTTTTTTATATTTGTGTCATTTATTGTCATTTCTCAAAGACATACATGGCATTTGGACAGACAGAAAAGGCTGTTTCCTCAAAAATAAATAGATGACCATAGAGTTGGTCAAAGATTCCTCCTGAACACAAGACTCTCGTAGATCACGTTGCCAATTACCCATGATCTCTGAAGGGAATCTTGATGCAATGATGAATCCAGAATATTCTGACCTGGTTCCAGACATGCAATTAGATAAGATTTATGAGTGTCAAGGTACCTACATGTGGCTATAGCTTTAATGTGAAACATATCAATGGTAATGGAACAAGTGGAATTTTTAGCAGGCTATATTTTTCTGTTCCCAAGATTCTAAAAGAAGTTTCAAAACATGAAAATTTCATTCCAAAACCAATTTGCCTCTAAAAATGTTTCTTCTCTTTTTATCTTTTCATGATTACTATAAAATATGTGATTTCCCTCAGTAGTATAATTTTAATATCAAAATTTTTAAAAGGTCATTTAACGTATTTATGCTATAACATAAATTTTGTCAGAATGATGCATTAGGTAAACTGACAGTGCTTAGACCAGGTCCTTTCTATAACCTAAAAACATAATAGGCCAAGCCCTATTTCTGGTCACAGAAATATCATTTTGACCACTAGAAATTTTGCACTGTTTTCATAGTTTGCCAAAAAGATGCTACATCCTCTGCACTAACTCCCAGATGATTCTCTGGCTCAACTCTCTTGATCAATATTCACCTGACACAATGGCATTAATTTGAATTGTTATAAGAAAGAGAATCTGGTAAAACTGGGATCTGACAAGCACCATCCCCTAGTCTGCCATCTTCTGATATATGAGGAGTAATGACTGAAATAAAGAATGTTGGAAGTAAGGATTTCTTATGTGAAGGGTCAAGTAGTTGCAAGAACTGTGTCCACACGAAGAGAAGTGAATGTTCAATGTGTGAGGAATATATTTGGAAAGAGATAGAAATCTCTTTGCATCTCTGCTCTACCCCAGAATTCATGAGCTATAGCTGTTTACTTGGAATTAAAGATTATTCCAGGGAAAGAATTAAGAAAATAAAGTACAAAGTATATAACTGTGTGAATAGTCAGCAGAGTCTCTTTGTTAAATTTCTATTGTGCATATCTGCAGTGATTATTTTAAATATTTAATGAAATTGTGAATATTATCAAAATGACAGAAAATGCTGGTTTTTAATAACATCTATAAAGATTAGAACAATTTTGAAAAAATGAAATTATTTCTGTGCCTGTTAAACTTTTTGGTTATCAAGCATTTAATTTAGTGATCAAAAAATATTTTCATTTCCTGTTTAAAATTACTTAAATGCGATTAATTCGGACCCAATGAATAAAAAGAAATCATACCGCAAGGTCAAAAACACCAAGTCCATGCTTCTCATTTTAAGATGAGGAAAGAAAGTTTAAGTGATTTGCCCAAAGGTACCCAGAGAATAACAGAGCTAGGATGGGGTAATAAGATTTGGAAGAAAAGGAAGAACTAGGTGTAGGCCATCATTTATTAGTGGTTCCATTTATTCCTCAGGACTAAGCTTGAGATAGGAAGGAAGTAGGAATATTTGACGAGTCCCTCTAACCCTGTTCCTTATGAAGTGTACTCTGTTGACCACCATAGTACCCACTCTAGTCTTGGGCAGAGGTGGTGGGAAAGGAAGAAAGGTAGTGGAAAGAGTAGAGTAGAGGAATAAGAAAGGAAAGAGGAAGAGAGAGAAATGTGGCAGCTTCTAGAGTATCCAGCAGAGGTAGAAGGAAAAGTTTACAGATAACTTAGACTTTGATTTGAATTAAAGCCCCCTATGAAAGAACTCTTCCCAACCCCAAAACCTGCCTCAGGAAAAACAAAAATGGACTTTGTCATTCTGTATCAACAAGAAAAGCAATGTGGCATGGGGATAGAGAACTGGCCTTGGGAGCAGGGAGACCCGACTTCTAGTCAGGCCTCTGACATATTCACTGACTTGGCAATGCTCTAGGCAAGTCTCTCAGACTGTATTTACAATGGTTCTGACATACATTGTAGAGGGAGTTTCCTCCTGCAAGAGTTCCCGATACCAATGAAATCCCAGATCCAGGCCTTCTCCCTATCCTATGTCTACATATGTAGACTCCCATATCCATATGTCTACATGGAGATAGGTTTGTGATTTTTTAGGAATCTTTGACTGCTTTTGAAAAACAAATTCTCAGTCCATGTTGGTAAAAATAGACTTGGAAATAATAATCACTGCTTCTTTTCCAAAGGTACTGGAAAGGAATGAGTTGATTTACATTTCTTTTCGTGTTTATACTTTTTAATACAACAAAGAAGACAATGGGTTCACTTTCATGAATATTGGTTCTGGTTCTGCATAACTGAAGTCACAGATTGGTGCTAGTGCTGTATCTGTAATAAAGTAGCATGCTGAGTGCACTATATTTACTGTTATACCAAAGCTAATAAAACATATGTAATTAATGGTTATGGCTGATACTTCATTTGACTTTCCACATTAAGAATTTTTTTTTTCTGGGACCCAAAATGTTAAGACAGAGGAGCTTCCATCCTTAATGACTCCATTTAAGGCTCAATGTGAAAGGAGCCCAACATACCCTTTGGCCATTTTTTTTCTATCTAGAACAACTTTTAATTGTATGTGATGCAAATATGATACTGTAGTGTAGTACCATAGTACCAAGTGCTGAATACTTGTAGGAAGGTGAGCTGGTTTCTCAGACCTCAGTTTCCCATTGCCACCCTTCTAAAGTGAGAAAAAGGATTATTCCACCTCTTTCTTCCACCAGACTTATTGCCATTGCCACTACTATTTTTCACCATTTTACTCCTTCCTCAAGGAATCAAGAAATTGGTCTTAATTTCCCAAGGAATCAAATAACGGTGGTGGCAGCAGCAGGCCCCAGATGTTTTTTTGCCTCAAGAGGCAGGTGGGCAGCTAGAACTTTTAAGCTGTGGGTTCTCTGTAGTCCACTAGCGGAAATGTTTTAAAACAAGTCTGGAGTGCATTGAAAAGGTGGTGAAGAAGTTGATGACCAGGCTATATGAGGGCTGGTTGAAGGAGCTAGGAGAGGTTAGCCTAAAGAAGAGAAGACTTAAATGAAACTGGTTATTATTTTTAAGAACTTGAAGGGCTTTCATGTCTAAGAGGGATTAATCTTGTTCTTCTCAACTCTAGAAGACAGTAGAAGTTACAGAGACACAGGTTTCGAAAAGATAGAAGGGAAAAATTCCTAAAATCTGTTATTGCTTTTCACTCATTTTCAGTTGTGTCCAACTCTTCATGACCCCTTTGGGGTTTTCTTGGAAAACCACTGGAGTGGTTTGCCATTTTCTTCTCCAGCTCATTTTACAGATGAGGAAACTGAGGCAAACAGGGTGAAGTGACTTGTCCAAGGTCACACAGCTTGTCAGGGTCTGAGGTCAGATTTGAACTCATGAAGATGAGTCTTCCTGATTCCAGGCCTGACGCTCTCCCCCTTGGGCCACCTAGCTGCCCTCCTAATATTTAAAGTAGCCCAAAATGTGGGACAGACTACATCAGAAGGAAATGAGGTCCTATCACTAGAGGCTGGAAGAGCAACTGTCACACATGTTATAGAAAGAATTACCGCTTTGGTTTGGGTTGGTCTAGATGACTTCAGAGATTCCTTCCAGCACTGAAATTTCATGATTCTATGCTTGTAATTTGTCATTCATTCAATTCAATTCATTCAACAAGTATCTATTGATCATCTTTACTGACTTGCTAAGTATTAGAGTACTTCAGAACTTACAAAGATGAACCATTCCATTCAACAAACATTTGGTAAGTGCCTATTAAGTACAAGGAACTGCGGGATTCAGAGATGAAAATAAAAAAGATCCTCCCTTCATGAAACTTATTTTCAACTGAGGAAATGCAACATGTGCATAGTATATATATATATATATATTTATATATATATATAGTGTTTTTCACAATACAGCCCAGGTACCACCTCACCTGGGAAGCCTTTTTAGACAGTCCAAGTTGGTGCTGGTTGTTCCAGAAGGCTCCAGCACCAACTTGGACTGTCTAAAAAGGCTTCCCAGGTGAGGTGGTACCTGGGCTGTATTGTGAAAAACACTGGGGTTTCTAAGAGGCAAAGGTGAGGAGGGAGTGTGTTGCAGATATAGGGGAAAACCTTTGTAAAAGGATCGAGATGGAAGGTGATATGTCTTGTAATTTCTATATCTGGTCAGAAAATCTAGTCCAAGCCTGACCACAAATTAGCTATGTGACCAGGGTAATAATGATAATAATAAATGATGTCACACATAAGGCACAGTGCTTTCCACAAATTATTTCATTCAATAATTTGGATAAGTTACAACTTCTCTAGACCTGGCTTTTCTCATCTGTAAAATAAGCAATAGGTGATACCTCAAGTCCTTTCCAAATGTATGATTCCATGACTTTAGAACAGGAAATGACTATGGTAGCTTCATAACTTCTACAGACCTTACTTTTTATTCTCTAAGTATGTGTTTTATGGATCTTATACTCAGCTTAGCAATAAAACTTAGTTTATTTTAATAAGACAGAAAGGAATAAAATTCAACCAACACTTTATGTATAGGGTTTACAATAGTAACATTTTCCCAAACCATGTAGTATGCTTTTATTGTCTTTTCGCTTCAGAATCAATCAACTGGTCCACAAAAAGCACCTTTTATGTGTCAGACATTGGGCTAGATGGTGGGGATATGAAAGAAAGAAAGGAAGGAAGGAAGAAAGAAAGAAGGAAAGGCAATCAGGGTTAAGGGACTTGCCCAGAGTCACACAGCTTACTAGCTGTGTCAAGTGTCTGAGGTCAGATTTGAACTCAGGTCCTCCTGACTCCCAGGCCAGAGCTCTATTCACTGTGCCACCTAGCTACCGCTGGAACTGTCTTTTATGTTTCTTTGTGTCCCCAGCACAGTGCCTGGCACATAGTAGATGCTTTATAAGTGTTTATTGACTGACTGAAAGATACCTACATTTTCCAGATACGGCTAATGTGAGAATTTGTTTTGCTCAACTATGAATGCTTACTAGGAGGGTTTTGTTTTTATTTTTGTTTTTGTTCAATAGTGGGGAGGGGCACAATGGGACCCAAGATTATAAATGCTTGTAAAAATACACAAATACATTTTTAAAATGTGAGTGATTCCTCCAGGAATGGAGTCAATAGGACTCATTGAATTAGAGAAGGAGGAGCTCAAGCTCTTTTTGTGTGAGCTACGTTCCCCGTTCTTCCATCGAAGCTGCTGTTGCTGTTGTTGAGACATTTCAGTCGTGTCTGACTCTTCATGACCCCATTTCGGGTTTTCTTGGCAAAGATACTGGAGTGGTTTGCCATTTCCTTCTCCAGCTGACTTTACAGGTGAGGAAACTGAGGCAAATACGGTTAAGTGACTTGCCCAAGGTCACACAGCTAGTAAGTATATGAGGCCTGATTTGAACTCAGCTCTTCCTGACTCTAGGCTCAGCACTCTATCCATTGTGCCACCTAGCTGCCCATCTTTCCTTAAACTACTGTTTTTGAATAATCTGGTTAAAGGTTCACTGAGTGAATCTATTGATTCCTGTGTTGCAGGATTGGTTACTATCAGGGGTCCATGCTAAGAAAGTGGATGGATACAGAGAGATGGATTTAGCCAGTGTAGTTAGGACAAGTTACTAGAAGGGAATAATACCAGATGATGATTTCTTGGCAAACAAAACTACAAGATAACATCCTACAAAATGACTGATCAGGACCAGGCAAAATTGGCTAAAAGGATATGTGTGATGCAGCGGACAGACCACCAGACCTGGAGTCAAAAGATCTGAGTTCAAGTTCTAGCTTGAACCATGACTTGTGTAACTTCGGTCAACCCACCTAATCTCTTTCAGCCCATTTCCTCATCTATAACATAAGGAGGCTGGACTAGGAGTGTCTCTGAGATCCTTTCCAACTTTAAAGCTTCGATCCTTTGCTCCTATTGACCTACAGTTTATGCATTAGTACATATTGTCATTGCTGCATTGGACTCCATGACAGCCATTATTTCTCTTGATATAAAGGTGCCACACTGACAGGTGCTCACTCTGTGACATTGGACAAGTCACATATGCTCCTAGTTCCACAGACAACTCTTTAAGATGAGAGATTACAGAGGAGTCACCAACCTGCATGGAAAAAAGGGGTTTCTCGTCAAGGGAGTTCTCTATGCCAATGAAATTATAGGTCCAGTTCTTATCCTTCTTAGTATTGAGATGAAGTAAGAAAGTGGATGTGGGAGGAGATCAGGGAAAGAGGGGGGAGACTAAGGTTCAGACATACTTCTGCACACTCCACATTCCAGACTTATTTCTGTCTCCCCTGAACATTCCCAAATTTTCCTGATTCTGTGCTTTTACTCACCTCTTTCCTATATGTGGAATGTCCTACCTCTCTGTTTTTACTCACAGAATTCTGAAAGAGCACTGGATTTAGAGCCAGAGGACCTGGGTTCCAATCCCTGCTTTGACATTGTTCTAGCTAGGTAACATTGGACAAGTTATTCAACTTCTCTGAGCCTCATTTTCCTTACCTGTAAAATAAAGGGATTGGACTAAAAACCTTTTAAGATTTCTTCTGGCTCTACAACAATGATCTATAAAGTCCAACTAAAATACTACCTCATCCACGATGCCTTCCCTGATCCTCCCTGTTGCTTATGACTTTTTCTCCCACTTGGCACTTGGTTGAGATTACAAAAGGCCTTCCCTTAGAATCAAAGAAGTTCAAAGTTGGACGGGTACTCAAGGAGGCAGCTAGGTACTGCAATGGACAGTGCTGGACCTGGAGTCAGGAAGAACTGAGTTCAAATCTAGGCTTGGATACTTTACTAGGTATGTAACCATAGGCAACTCTGCCTCAGTTTTTCATCTCTAAAATGGGGATAATAATAGCATCTGCCTTTCAAGGTTATTGTGAGGCTAAAGAAAGATAATATTTATAAAGCACCATGTAAATGCTAGCTTTTTTACTTCTCTATAGTGCATTTATTATGTGGTATTATATTCCCTGACTTGCCTATAAGTTCTACAAGGGCTAAACTCTGTTTCTCCCTATTGCCTAAAATAGTGTTCTCTACAGAGTAAGTGTTTAATAAGTGTGTGTTGAATGTATGATTGAACAAGTGAATGAATGAATGACTTTGAATGACTGATGGGGATCTTCAAGATAGCTATACCACCAAGGAACTGTGATCAGCACTGAGAAAAATGTTCTCCTTGCCTGGAGATTTCATGCCCTTATGACCCACTGGGATCTGCTTTTGGTGATTCTCAGCAAATAAAAGCTTTCTTAGAGTTTCTTAGCGTTTGCACCAAACTGACTCAAATTTGGCCGAGGGTTCACCAACCTCATGGTAATGCTGGGCCAAGTTTCAGGTTCACA